GCTGCCCACAGGCCAACCGCCGGCGTGACGCGCCCAGCGCCATCTGGGCACGCGCCATGGTGCCACGGCAACACTGCATTTAAATGGCATCCTCCCAGGGGCCTATGCCGACGCTGAAGATGGCCACTGGCTGTAAATGAACCGGGCATCGCGCCGCGGCCTCGAGCCGTGTGCTGCCCGAGAGGTCCAGCCCACTTGCTCTTGATGCCATCGCTGCTTAGCTGGCCGCACACAGCCGGCCAGCAATGTAACTTGGTCACACTCACGTCTGCTCGACGTCCGCCACATGCTCTTGAAGCGCCTTCCAGGCGGGGCTGTCCGAAATGGAGGCCATGCTGGCTTCGCTCGTGGGATCGTACTGCGGAGTACCCAATAATAATATAAAGCGTTTAAGACACAGACTGGAGCACGATCGATGCGCGTTTACCGGCTAGGACCGCGCTGATGATCGCAAGTGCCTAGTGTTCCCGAAATAGGCTCACCGTGTGCAGGGCTGTTGCTCCCGCGCAGGTCACGTCGATATGATGCCTATGAGCTTGTGTGCTGTAATCACAGCGCGTGAACGAGCGGGAGGAGATTTTTTCGGGCAGCGACCAGCTGCAACTGTCACAACAGCACCCCTGACAACCACTAACATGTTGATTTGGTATCACAAGAGTAATTCATGCGTCACGACACCCACACTCACTCGCGGGGGGTGGAGGACAATGAAGTCCTGGCCATGGTGGCCAGGGCAGCGCCCAACAGCCGAGGCGGGGTGGGCCGCGTCAATGGGGCTGCTGAGCCCAACGAGGATGAGCTGCGGAGGGACTGCATGCTGCCGATCGCCGGGCCAACTCGAAGACTTTCATGCACCAGTAGAAAGGCGCCTTGGGACGAATAACAAGTGCCTGGAAATTTAACGCGCCTGAAGTTTCACTGCATGCTGCGCATGTGCGCCTCGAGCGCACGTAGCAGAGGTGGGGTACCCAGGGTAGTGCCCCGCCAGTGTCGCCATTCACCTTGGGGCGCTACCGCCAGCAACGCGAACGCCCGGATGGCAGTGGCAATCGCCTATGCATATAGATATGCTGTCTATGCTGTGTGGCAGCAAGCGGCGTTGCTTCCTTGTTGCCCATTTGCAGCATGGTCATGACGTGTTGACCTGCAGGTTGACCTTGCTTGCACTGTGCACTGCTGTGTGGCATGATACATGACAGCCAGACATGCGGAGCACGTTGCTCTCAACAATGTATGTGCAGTGCCATGTGATAGCTCCTTTTGACCCGTTGCGAGGTTGGTGCAAGGTGTGGTCCAAGAGCAACACATCGGAGTGCATGGTGGCTGATTGCCTGTCAGCCCAGAAGCTGCTGGTGTGGCCTCATGATGCACCTGGGAGGCCATCACGGCTAGTAAGCACATCACCTCGAACGCAGATCGTATGACCCTGCTCGTCCCAGTAACACAATCCCCAACACGGTGAAGCACGCATACAACGCTGGTGGTCGAAGAAACACGCCCATTCCTGTTTTGTGCTCATTGAACACTGCTTGAAACTCTGATGTCATCCTACGTACGAACTTGACCCTTCCCAACACACTGTTCTGCAAGCAGCACTGCTTGCTGTTGTCGGTTGGGTGACATCAGCACCGTGACTGAGGCATTGCGAAAAGACACAAGCTGTGATGGTGCATGCTCGTTTGAAGTAATCCAAAGAAAGGCACGAAATCAACGTGACAACCATGAAGCCCGCGGCAGCTCGAATTACAGTACTGGACACCGTGTTGCCAGGCACTTCATGCGACAGTAGCATATTGCCAATGTGCAGCGTTCAATCGCGACTTATCTGCCATCTTCTGTTACCTCTATAAACAAGTCGCACGCTGACAGATCTGACTTCCGCAGGTTTTCATGAGGAGCAGTGCGATGGCTGACAAGCTGAGAGCAGCGCCAAGCACAGGGGTTGAGGTCGCACGGTTGCTCCCAACACTGTTGGTCGCAGCTGCTCTCCTCACTGGATGGGCGTGTGCAGCAGCGGCGGCGGGGACGCCGCCGCGCTCCAGCGAATTTGAACAGGAACTAGTCAAGGAGGCAGTGGACCTGGGATCTGCGCACACTGACGAGCAGGCACAACAGGCAAAGGAGATGGTGTGTTTTTGAGGCCACACCGGCAGGACTGCGCATGCTGACCAGTTGCGTTGCTGCCGCACAGGGACAGCACATTGCACTGGCTCCACATACGGCATGCGACGCGGACAGCCGACGCCGATGCTGCACTATCCATCCCATGTGAAATCCCTCTCCTCCTCGCACCCCCAGGAGTCGCTGCTGCACTGGGCTATAGAAAACAGCGACCCCGCAGTCCTGGCCGACCGCGCAGGCCGCAAAGACAAGGGGCAGGAGGAGGTCGTCAAGGACTTCCTGGAGCGCAAGCAGCGCGTCAAAGTGGTGGGTGCAGTGCTTGCGGATGGCACCGACACAGGCTGAGGTGAATCAGAGCTGGTGTGGGGGCCGCCTTCTTGTCCCACCCCAATCTAGCATTCATGGCCAGGAGCGCCGCAACACAGGCGTGGGGCCGATCTCCCTGGGGCCCGTGTATGGCTCATGTCCCATCATGTGCCTTGCCGTGCCCCCGTCGCTGACGCCTGCAGCTGTACGATGCAGTCAACGCGCTGCCGACGGAGGCTGGGCTGATGAAGCAGGCAATCGCGGGGCTGCAGGATGGGGCCGCAGCTCCAGAAGCCCGGCTGGCGGCGCTGGAGGAGCTGCAGCGCCTGGTTGAGCCGATAGACAACGCCAACGGTGGGATGCAGCGAAACAGAATGTCCTGGGGGGACTATGATTACGTGGGCGGCTGAGCGGCCGGCACGGGCGCGGTGCGCAGGAAGGGCGAGACGGGTCGCCCGCTTCTCCAAGCGCGAACCCCTTCTGCACAATTCATCAGTTCGTGCCGCTCATGTCTCTGCGGCCCGGCCAGGACGCCAACCTTCCACATGTCTCAGCTTACATACCACCTGCACCACACCCACGACGTGCAGATCTCCACACCCTGGGCGGCCTCGCGCCCGTCGTCGCCCTCCTGGCCGAACCCCACCCCACTCCAATCCGCGCCGCCGCGGCACACGTCATCGGCACGGCCGCCTCAAACAACCTCAAGTTTATCCGGCAGCTTGTGTCGCTGCACCCGCGCATCCCACACGCTCTGCTGGCCATCACCCAGCTGCGGGACGATGCGGCGGCCGCCAAGGGCCTGTACGCACTGGGCACGGTCGTCCGCGGCTCGCGCGAGGCGCGCGCCGCGTTCTACGCCGCATCGGGGCTCTCGCAGCTCGAGGCGGCGGCCGCGCCGGGTGCGGCGCAGTCGGAGCGCGTGCGCACCAAGGCGCTGCACCTGCTGACCGACCTGCTGGAGCTGACAACGTTTGACGAGGGCGGCGGCAGCGACGCAAGCCAGCAGCAGCAGCAGCAGCAGCAGCAGGAGGATGGCCGAGGCAATGCGGAGATCGAGCGTCTAGCAGCTGGCGTGCTGCCGCAGTTTGCCGGCGCGGCGCTGCAGCTGCTGCAAACGGCCGAGAGCCTGCGCGCCCAGGAGACGGCGCTGCTGGCGCTGCACACCATCCTGGCCAAGCGGCCACAGGACGGGCGCGAGGCCCTAGAGGCGATGGGAGCGGAGGGGGTGCTGCGGGAGGCGCTGGTGGCACTGGAGGCGGCGCTGCTCACTGGGGAGGACGCGGCTGAGGAGGCGCGGAGAGAGGCGGCGGGACTGAAGCCGCGAGAGGGTGGCGGAGGGGAGCAAAGTGCCGGGGAGGACCAGGGAGAGGACCCGGGGGAGTTCGGAGACGGCAGCGACCCGTCTTACCGCCACTACCTGGTGGGCTTGTGCGCGGACCTGCTGCAGGACCTGTCTGCGGAGCAAGGGTTCCTGGGCCACGATGAGCTGTGATGCCGATCCCTGTGGTTGGCGGCTTGCACAGCTAGTGCACCGGGGCGTTGCGTAGGCGGTGTAATATGCCGCGGCGATGAGAGACCGTTACGGCTCTACGATGTTGGGGCACTTGGACAGGTGTGCGTGAGGCCAGGGAGGGACATGCGGGTGTGGGCAGGAGCAGGGGCAGACAGCCGCCTCCTGGCTGCCAAACGAGGGTGTGACCGCAAGGGCGCCTGCCCGTCCTGCGAAGGGACGAGAAGCCGGCGCATTACCAGAGGCATCACACATACTCTCCTGGCTCATAACATCCATATCATCAAAGGTGTGACTGCGTTGCTGCGAGCGACTTGGTGGTGGGCGCCCACCGCCTGCTTACTGCGATGACGTTGGCGCCCAGCAAGGCAGTGTCGGGGAGCGCCAACAGTGGAGCCTGAGAGTTAGGAAACTGCATCTCCTTCGATGCTACTGCGTTTCCGTCAGCTTCCGATACATAGCGATACATATCGACCACTCACCCATAGCACTCCCGAGTATCGCTCACAACCAGCTTCTGCCCTACACCACTCCCGACCAGGGGGACCCTTAGACGTTCATAATTGTTAGCACGTATCTTTGCGCCGTGCTAGGCCTTCAGCTGTGTTTGGGCCACTGCTCTCGCATTATAGGATAATAGGACTGCGCCACCGGCGGTGCCCAGTTTCTCCCGTATACATACTTCTCAGCTTCAACATAGGCCAGCGTCGGACGACGCTGATCTGCGCGCACTTCCCGCGCATGCATTTCTGCCATGAGGGGCTCTGCTAGCCTGGAGGAGGACTCGCACTCAGATGCACCGAGGAGCCGCTTTCAAGAGGCAAGCAGCGATTTGCTCGCGTCCTGCTTCCTAGGCGGTTCGCTCCTCCGCTCTTGTCCTCAACCCCCTCCCTTGCGTCTCCAGGGCCGGCTCTTCATTGGAGGTCTCGATGACAGCATCACGTCACAGCAACTGGAGGCTCACTGCAGTGGATGGTGGGTCCTGCATCGCGTGCCGCGGTTGAGGGCGCCGTCGCGCACAGTGCTCGGCGGCTCACACCACAGTGCTCACTCGTCGCAGGGGCGAGGTGGCTGACGCTGTTGTCATGGACACAAAGAACTACGGGTTTGTTACATTCCGCGACCCAGCCAGCGCAATGCGCTTTCTCGAGGTGGGTGGTTGCAAGGGGCGCAGGGGTTGGTTAGGGTTGCGTTCAGCACTAGAACGAACCTGCAACTCCACCTGGCCTGTGAGTTCAACGGCTCAACGCGCCGCTGAGCCCATCGTGACTGTTGGAGCGTTCATGTTTTGCTCAGGGCAGCACCGCAGCGCGGTGGCAGCAGAGCCGTGCCCCAGACACAAGCGCACTCAAGGCACTGGACCCTAGTGCTAACAAAAAAACCAGTGCGGCACCTGTGCTGAGAGCTCCGGCATCACCCATATTGGCATGAATCCCGCAGCAGCGCGACCACATCATCAACAACCGCCGCATAGATGTCAAAGCCGCGGTGCCCAAGCACCTCGGTGGCAACACACGACTCACCCGCAAGCTGTTTGTGGGCGGCACGAGGTGCGGGGTGCAGGTGGTGCTCTTTCGTGTAAGCGTTCTGACTGATTTGCAGCCCATGAGATACTCATATCAGGCACTGCTGCACAAGTTGCTTGCCATTGTCCAGAGGGCAGGGCAGGCAAAGCCTAAAGGGTTTTGGTCGTCCGCTTGCGGACGAGGCGCCCAAAGCAGCCCCTTTTGAGATGCATGCGTTGGCCCGCCTCGCTGCCTCGCCGCCCCATCACTTATCACCATGCAGGAGCCTGCGCACCGAGGAGTTTGTGGAGCACTTTGCGCAATTCGGCACCATTGAGGACGCCGTGGTGGGTGGGGCCACCAACTCAAGGATTTTGGAGGGGAAAGGCTGTTGGCACCAGACACACACACTGCTCGTGGGGCAGCGGCCAACTGCTTGAGCATCTTTGATAATGATCAGAAAGCACTTCATGATGGGCTAAAAGCGGGTCTTGATAGCACGACAAGGCTGGTGTGTGTGTGATCTTTTCCCAAACCTTCTCGCCTCCCAGATTGTCCACCGCGAGGGCGTCTCCAGGGGCTTTGGCTTTGTCACCTTTTCAGACGAGATGTCGGTTGAGAAGTGCCTGGTCGTCTCCCACACCATCGCCGGCAAGAAGGTGGAGCTGAAGCGCGCGATACCCAAGGAGGAGATGGAGGCGGCCGCTGAGGCCGCGGGTTCGTCTGGCGGCGGCGCAGGCGCTGGCGCAGGCTTTGCGTACCCGATTATGGGGCCGCCGGCGGCGGTCGCTGCCGGCTGGAGCCCTTCAAGGGGGCCCAGCGGTGGCGGCGCGTATTTCCAGGTGCCCCACGGCTACGTGCCTGTGCCGCACGCCGTGCCCGCTCCGTACAGCCCTGTGGCGGTGCCATTCGCGGCGGCCGCGGGCTCGCCGATGCGAGGGAGCGCGGCTGGAGGGCAGTCTCCCGCGCGCGCCGCGGGGCGCGGGACCAGCGGCGGCGGCAGCGGCGGCGGCGGCGGCGGCATGGGCGACCACTTTGTGCCGTACATGCCGCCCTATTACGGGTACACCCAGGCGGCCTGGTACCACCCTGCATATGGGTACATGCCTGTTCCATACTACCTGGGCGGCATGGGCGGCTGGCCTGCAGCGGCAGGGTCGCATCACGGCCCGCAGCAGGCACCAATGATGATGCCACGGCAGCAGCACGGGGTGGGACCGCGCGGGGGCGGCAGCGCTGGCGGCCGCGGGCCGCGGTTGCCGCCCAACATGGCGCAGCTGGGACAGCAGCTTGGACGAGTCCAGCTGGGCCGAGAGGAGGGGGGCGCACCTATCGCGCCTGCGTCCAGGGAGGTGGACGAGCGCGCCCGCGACCAGCGGCGCGGCGCATCACCGGCGCAGGGCAAGCCGCCGCAGCAGCAGCCACAAAACCTGCCGTGCCAGCCGCCTCAGCAGCAGCACCAGCAGCCGCAGCAGCAGTTTTCGCGGCAGCTGCAGGAGGGGCAGAACCCATAGCGGCAGTTACAGTGGGACGTTTGGCACGATGCGTCTTGCCAGACGCATCCGCCGCGCTTCCCAGAAAACGAAGCGTGCCATCTCGTGGCTTCAGACCCCGCCTTGGCCCGCTGCACCTGCGCTGTGTTGACCTGCCACGCTTGCCAGCAACGTGCTGATCCACCAGCGACGTGCATGCGCAACCGAGGCTTGTCATTCACGCTGGTTGCAGGCGGCCCCCTTTCGAGACTTGCACTGCCATCGATTGGGGACTGCGACATGGGTGCATGCACAAGGTTGTGGCGACCGCAAAGCAGCGACGCGCCGGCCGGGCCAAGCGGCGCCGGGCCGTCGCCTGCGCAGCACTGGCGGCCGCGTGTGGTTCAAGGTCGCACCAAAGAGGGCTCCTGACACGTCGCGGCGCCTGCAGCGCCGGACGCGTGCTTCCCTGCTGCGTCCAGGGGCGCAGGCCGGAGCCCGTCCACGCTGTGCGATTGAAGCGTGTACAGCTTGCCAGCTGGCTTTGCCGGGGCCTGCTCGGGACTGCTGTGGAGATTGCAGAGCTTCTTTTTGCTTGCGAGGGTGCGTTGTGCGGCGGCAATGACAGCAGGGTTGGCGCGGCAAACTAGCCGTGCCTTAACGTCATCACCAGCATGCCGATGGCTGTGCTTGATGAAGCGTGGCGGCAGGCGCCGTGATTGCCACCGGTCGCCTCTGAACGCGGCGTGCGTTGTCGGCTGCCACGCCTGTTTTCAACCAGGTAGTGTTCTTGAAGCCATGTGACTGTCACGCTTGCTGCCTATCACTGCCTCCTTGCGGCTTCGTGCGCACACGCGCACGTTGCTGCGCTATTGCTCGCCGTCACAGTGCACGGGCAGCAAACCCTAACCTCGGCATTTTCTACGCCTCTGCCGTGCGCGCTGGCGTGCGGCAAAACACACACACACACACACACACATGCTAGCATGTGCGCCCGCAGGCTTTGCACCACCGGCGCGGGGCATGCAGCCTTCAACCCTTATCATATCAACCCGGCCACTTATATACATACGCGCACGGCCCCGCTTGCGGCCGCCGTTTTTGCCTGTCCCATGGGCTTTGCCCTATTCCGAGCGCTCAGATCCCCTCAAAATGCGCTTCAGCACCTCCCAGACCGCTGAATGAGCTCGCAATTTGTGTGACATCCAGGCTGGCGTGGGCACTGCGGTCGCCCAGCGCGCCTGCACTCCACGCCGGCGAGCCCTGACGTGGGTGCCCCGCCGCCTGGGGGCACACCCCTGAATGCCGTGCATACGCCCCTGCTTCCCAACACGTGGGAGAGCGTCATGCCGTGACAAACAACAGTGATGACGCCCGCGCAGGGGTTGACGGCCGCAGCGGCAGCTTTTGCCGCCGCGGTCGGCCGATGACGACACGAGACGATCTGCTACTGACTGACTGGCGCGACAGGAGCGCATTTACGGCCCCTGGCGCTACACTCTGTTCCTCGCGTACCGCGCACGGGCGGGCGCCACCCAATCAGGCCAGCCTTCCCAAGCTATGCCAGCCGTGACGCGCAGGCTCTACTGGGACGTCCGATGCGCGGCGCCCGTTGGACGCGGCCCCATGAGCACGCCCCCCGCTTGCCATCTTACTTACTGGGTGCGTCGGGCGCGCAGGTCCCCGCTCGCCCGTTGGTCCGTCCTCAGCCTTCCTTTTGTGCGCCCGCAAATCTCGGCGTGCGAGGGCCACAGCGGCGATGCGGGCCTGGGGGCGCGCCTTGCGATTGCTTTGAGGGGATGCTTTGCCTTGGGTTTGGGGGGGTGGGGCATACGTGAGTGCACAGGGCGCGCTGCATAAGTGAGCCTTTTGAACACTGCAGGGAGTAGGCTTTTACTGACTACGTACTTGCGAAAGTCCCCTGGGAAACTATTGTAACTCTGTAAAACTGCAATTGCCTCTGTGCATCTAGCACCTGGTGGGCGCCCCGCCGCCCTGCGGTTGCTGACACTGCCGTTGCTCACCCTGCACTGTTCAGTCGGTGTGATGATCTGTAGAGCGTTGCTGTCTTGATTCTCAGTTGTTTTTACGTGTAGGATTGTATCGTCGTGGTCGACGCAAGGAGCAACTGTTGACAATGAGCTTCGTCAAGGATCTGGCGAAGCGCTTTCAGCCCGAGGGGCTGGAGAGCCTCCCAAAGTGGGCCTGCTTGCTTCAAATTGATACTGTGAAACTCCACCGTGCTTGCAACTTACACAAGGAGCACATGCGTGGCGCCAGCAGCAGCAGCGGCAGCACCACGCATGGCCGCCCCGAGCGGCATCGCCGCGTGCTCATTGACGAATCTGCAGCCGGCACCTCCATCTGCTTGCTGATGCATATCTTCGATTGCTTCTTCGCACCGCAGGGCCGATCTGGGCCTCCTAGGCGCGGGCGTGGTGGTGTTTGGTGTGCAGCGGCTGGTGCCGACGTATGACAACACTTACTACAAGGAGGTCCTGAAGAAGCCCAAGTGAGCAGGGCGGCGACGACGATTACGCGTCTGCACCATGTGCCTCACATGCATTCATCTGCAGCAGGGGCGCGTGTGGCGCGTGCACGGTAGCGCGCGAGATGCCTGGCGACTGCCTTTTTTCACTGCTGCCTGCGGTGCGGCTACGCCGCCAATCCCTGCATGAACTCGCGCGCCCCCTCCCACCTGCGCAGCTGGACGCCTCCCAACTGGGTGTTCCCCGCGGTGAGGCCCCTAGGTGCCGCGCGTGTGCCCCTGTGCCTGGCGTCCTCCACGCGCCTCCCAATGTGGACCCGCGGTTCCGCGAGCGCCCACGCGCCCCACCCCACCACCTGCTGCCGATACCCGCCATCCCGCTCGATTTTCTCATCATCAGGTATGGATCCCGCTTAAGCTGCTGCAGTCGGTGGGTCTTGCCATTACTCATCCCAGCAAGGGGCGGCCCTGCACCCGCCGCTCCGGTGGCACCCGTGCACCGGTCCCTGCCCGCCCTGCGTTGGTCCAGCTGGCCTCACGGCCTGCGGCTGGCGTATAAGACTCAGTTCCGATCCTCCGAACACGTGTGCACCCAGTTGGTTGCTCATGTTCTCGCGTGTGCACTCGCACGCACACATCAATCCACATGCATGCATGCTCACGCGCTCACGCGCGCGCACGCACACACACACACACACACACACACACACACACACACACACACACACACACACACACACACACAGAGCACACATTCAGTTTGCACACGACACACATGCGGTAAAGGTATGTGCACACACAAGATGCACGAGCACATACATAAACACACTCGCACGCATTCCATGCGCAGGTGTCTCTGTGGCTGGTCATCAAGAAGGCGCCCTCAAACCAGGCGCTCACGCTCCCCCTGCTGCTCTTCGGAACACACTTGGCCCTGGGCAACTACTGGAACTGTGGGTGCCCACGCCTGCGCCCGCAAAGCCCGCGGCAGGCCGCGCACATCTCTCTTGTAGCGCACGTGCACACGCCGTTGGAGCGGGGGTCCGTGGCATTGCTCACCCGGGTTGCTGAGATCCACGCCGCTGCTCCATGCCCCCGAACATCAGCGCACATGCTTTGAAGGGCGACTCTGGCGTTGCTGATGAGTACAGGGCGCTTGTGTCAGGCGGGGTTGCCTAGCCAAAGTTGCAAAGATCCCTCCGCCGGCTGACCGCATGCTATTCTCCCCCACACGCCCATTGACTGCATGTGGCCCTGCTCGCCCATTCCCCAGGGGTGTTCTTCGGCCAGCGGCAGCTCAAGCCCAGCCTCAAGGTCATGGGCGCGTTCTGGCTGAGCATCGCGGGTGAGCCTTGAGGGGCCTGGCGCGGTGGGAGGCACGCCAGGGGTCGCGCAGTCGTCCAGCGGACGCCTGGCAGGGCCACACCCTGCAAATCCCCCGGGCGGGGGCAGCACCTCAATGCTCCCGCTCGGCTTCTGAGCGGTGCGCCACGCTGACATTGGCGGCAGCGCCGGCCTCAACGGGGCTGATTGTCTGCCCAACAAACCGTCGGGCCTTCACCCACTGCCTCACATTCCCCCCCACGCCAGGGAGTATCGCGGCTTTCAACCCCATCTCGCCCCTGGCCAGCCTGCTGTTTGCCCCAACCCAGGTGCGCAACGGGCAAGAGTGGTCGCACACGACCACTACGGGGCTTGTGGCCTTACACAATTGGGTGCCTGGCCACAGCTACGGTCATGAATCGGCCATGTGCATGCGTTGCGGTCAAGTTCCTGCACCACTGATTTCGCTTGCCAGGTGTGGGTGACCATCGCGGCCAAGCTCAACTACGACATTGTGAAGCTCAACGAGAACAAGGTGGCGTGAGGAGCTTGCGGCGCGGGCTGGCGGGTTTATCGCACGCCCCTGGCTGGGGGGAGGGGCTCAGGATCCCGAGGGGACATGCCATGACAACCAGCCCTTCGCTTCAGTCTGCGTGTCGAGCCAGGGGCGCCGCTTGCCAGGGATCCAGCTACCTGGCGGTTGCCTGAACTTGATAGTTGCTGCTTTCGTCATCTGCCGGGATATTGCGCGCGAGGACGCCGAGGTGCGTGCGCTGCCCTGTTGTCTTGTGTGCCTGGCGTCTTGGCCTTGGCCCCCCACCCACTGCTGTTGAGATGATCGGTGCTGTTGAAGCTCCCCAGTTTTTAATGTTGCAATTGGCTACCGTTCATCATAGCTGCTGTTACCAGACTGCATTTTGATGCTCCAAGAAAGGCCATCCAATGGACTGACTCAGGATGACCGCGGTCACACTGTCAGGCCTGGTTACACCCAGGACAGCTGCCATACGTTGTCATACTGTTCAAACTTAGATGAAGAGACTAACAGGGCGATTTCTGCAGCAGTCATGCGTCCTGTGGCTCGATCGCTGCTGAAGCAGCACTCGATCTGGCGGAGCTCGCTTCCCAGCGCCCTCGTAGCTTCCCCATGGCTTTCCAAGAAATTAAAAACACATACTGCAACCGCAAACGTCGCGCCCAGCGGCAGCCAGAGCAGCAGCGCCCGCTGGTTGGCGGCGGGTGTCATTGCTGCTGTTGTGGCGGCAACTGCGCCGGTGGCGTGGGGCGACTCTTCTCACGAGCCCCGGCGCACACCTGAGCAGCTGCGTGCGGAATTCGCTGTGTGGATCAAGGAGCAGGGGGGCCATATGGGCGGCGTCGCACTGGCCGACTGCCAACAGGTGAGGGGTGTGAGCGTGCCAGCTCAAGACAGAGCGCCAACCAGGCCAGGGAGAAAGAACAACGGAGCAACGGTGGGCAGGCGGCTGTGAGATGTGCAGTCCTGCGGTGCGGCTCATCCACCTTGTGCTTGTTCTTTGGTCGGTGCCGCAGTTGCACCGCCAGGCCCCCTCCCTTGGCGGTCCCCACATCCCCGAACCCCGGCCTCCCCCCACCCTTACGCGCACATGCGGCGCCGCCAGGACCCCGGCGCCGGCCAGGGCCTCGTGTCGACGGCGCAGCTGCGCCGCTCGATGCGCCAGAAGTGGCTAGGCCGCAGGCTGGGGGCGCTAGTCACCGGGCAGCGCACGCTGGTGGCTGCCGAGGTGCCGCTGACCCTCGCGCTGACGTCAGAGGCGGCCAAGGATGACCCCGACCTCGGGGCATCTTACGCCGAGCTGATGGACCTGGGCCTCGTCGATGAGAGGGCCGCGGTGGTGACGATGCTGCTGGTCGAAAGGATGCGGGGGCGGGAGTCGCGGTACGCCCCCTGGATACGGCTGCTGCCCACGAGGTGCGCGCCAGTGCGTGCGCATGTGCCCGCCTGCGGGCGCGCGCGTGGCACGGCGTCTTCCCGCCGCACGCTCTGGCTGCGGCGCTGGGCTCATGGCAGCCGTGCGTGTGAGCTCGCTTTTTCCAAGCTCACCCTTCACAATCAGGCCGCCGTGCAGCGCCTGCCGCACCTGCCAAAAGGCGGCCGGCCCGGCCTGCAACGCCTACCAAGTTGCAATGGTTACCCCCCACGGCTTCCCCCACTGCCAGCCACCTGCCAAATCCGGCTTCGACCGTTCCTCCCCCACCCGCCCACCGCCTTGTCCTGTTGTCGGCGCCGCGCCCCGCAGCTTCACCACACCCCTGTGGTTTGACGAGGAGCAGCTGAGGGAGCTCCGCGGCACCACCCTCGCCGCCGCCGCCGCGACCCACATGCGCACGCTGCGCGCGCAGTGGCAGCGGCTGCAGCCCGCCGTCGCGGCGATGCTGCGCCAGGTCAACGCGCCCGAGGAGCCGGCTTTTGAGGACTTCGCCTGGGCATACTCGGTGTTTTGGTCGCGCGGCCAGAGCCTGCCGGTGCCGGAGCGCGCGGCGGCGGCGGAGGAGGAGGGCGAGCGGGGCGGTGCGGCGGGCGGCGCGCTGCGGGTGGTGGTGCGCGAGGGCGTCGTGCCGGGCCTGGACTTTGCCAACCACAGCGCGCAGGTGGGCCCTGAGTGTCGCGTCTTCTGGAGCCTGCGCGCGCGAGTTATGCAGCTGCCTTCCTGGCTGTGCGGCCACACACGTTTTGCAAGTGAAGGTGCTGCTTGCTGGATCGTGCAAATCGCATGGCCGCGGCGTCGTCAACCCCTCATTGCAGGCCAACTGCTGGTGGGAGGTTGTTGAGGCGGACCTTGGGGCGGGCCCCGCGCGTGCCGCAAGCGGCCAGCTTGAGGGCGGCGGCGGTGGCAGCAGCAGCAGCAGGAGCAGCAGCACAGGCGGAGTCAATGGCCACGGCTGCTATGTGCAGCTTGTGACCAACCGGGTGGGTCTCAGAGCAAAGAGCGAGCCGCAGGAGGGAGTGCTACAAGGCCAGGCGGACGCAGACCCTTCCTTACTGCAACCACACATTGCCGCTTGCCCCGCTTCGTCCATCCATGCAGCCACGTGGGCATCGGGTTTCTCGCCCTGCTCACAGACCCTTTCCCCCACCTCTCAAAACTCAAGTCAATGCGACCTCCATGCACTCAGCGAGCCGCGCCGCGCCCCGCGTCGCCGCCGCTGCCCCCTCGTCTTCCGCAGGCCTGCCTGCCCAAAGCCGGCTCGGAGCTGACCATCTCCTACGGCGACAAATCCAACGAGGAGCTCCTCATGCTGTACGGCTTTGCAACCCAAAACAACCCCAACGACCAGCTGATGATACCCTGCCCCCTGCCGCCGCGCCAAGAGTGGCCGGACGAGACCGTCGGCCGACTGCGGCTGCTGCAGGCGCGCGGCCTGCGGCCGCAGCTCTTCCTGTCCGCGTCGCGGCTGGCGGCGCTGCAGGAGGGCGCGCCCGGCCGGGAGCGCGGCAGCGCGCTCGACGGCGACGCGCGGCGCGTGCTCGAGGCGTTTGTGATGTCCCCCGCTGAGCTGGCTGCGCGGCTGGACGCCTTGGAACGCGGCGGCGGCGGCGGCGGCGGCGACGACGACGACGAGGAGTGGCCTGCAGGCGGCGGCGAGGGGCGGCCTGCCGGCAGCGGCGCGGGCGCGGGCGCCAGGGCGGCCGCGGCGGCGCGCGTGGAGCGGCTGGGGGCGGAGATGGCGCTCATCACCACGTTGGTGCGGCTGCTCGAGCTCAAGGTAGTGGAGCTTGAGGGGGAGGAGGAGGGCACGGGGCCGCTGGAAGGCGATGAGGTGCGGCTGGAGGAGCAAGGGGGCGGCCGGCTGGCGCCGTGGCTGCGCAGCTGCCTGCTGTACCGGGCCGGGCAGAAGCGGCTCGCGCGCGGGTGGCTGGCGGCGGCGCGGCGGGAGCTTCAGGAGACGCTGGGCGCGTTGAGGGCGGCGGAGGAGGCGGAGCGGGGGACGGGGGAGGCGGAGGACACGTCTGGCGTTGCGCCAGTGGCGGCGGCGGCGGCTACGGCGGGCTGACAGGTGGTTGAGCAGGGAGGAGGGGTAATGCCCACACCGATGCCTGTGATCATTCGTACAGACAGGATTGGCCAAAGCAAAAAAACATTCAACCACAGGGAAGGGCGCACCAGGTCTGAGGTGGACAACCGGTGTGCTGACGGCGGTGCGAGCTGCCACAACTGAAAGTGCCGGCGGACCTGTGCCGTCACGTCATCTTGGGGCCAGCACTCTCTTACATCAGCTCCCCCCGCCGAGTCCGCGCCATATTCAGCATCGGAAACAGTATTCTGCGGCATGTTGTGGTTACGAACACGTCAGATGCGCGTTACGAGCGGAGTAAAGCCTCGACGCATGCATGCATCATTTGCACGCAGTCCGCCCGCTAGCATTCGCCTTCATGTCGGCGCTTAATGAGCCTGATTTTGATTCTTATTATCGCTATAGTTGATGAGGCCTTCGCTCGACACGATTTCCCGGCGATTCCGCCACTACCCGCTAGGCTCGGAACCCCCAAATCACCTGTTACACAATGGCCGACACGAAGCGTGTGCAAGATGTGGAACTCGCTCACTACTCTGAGCCGGCCAAGCCCGTGTGGTCCCAGGCCATCGCGAACCCCGCGCCACTTGGTGGGTGCGCTCGCACCCAGCGACTCATCGGCAAAGTTGACCGCGGCGTTCGCAGCTCGCTTGACAATTCGCTCCCCGCACCAGGCCTGCACACATCCGAAATGGGATTGCTGCGGCCTCTGCCTCCCTCCAATCCCCAGGCCTGCTGGCGTTTGGGATGACCACATTCTTCCTGATGACGGTTGATACGCTCTGGTCGTCCAAGGTCTTTGCCAGCCAAGTCATCGGGTACGCCTACGCGTACGGTGGCTTTGCGCAGATGGTCGCCGGCGTGCTCGAGGTGCGGCCCTGTGCAAGCGCACGTGTTTGTAGCCAGGCGCGAGTGACACGAGTTGGCCGTATCGTCCTGCTGGTGATGACTTGCGATGACTCATGGACAGCAGCAGCAGCAGCAGCAGCAGCAGCAGCAGCAGCAGCAGCAGCAGCAGCAGCAGCAGCAGCAGCAGCAGCAGCAGCAGCAGCAGCAGCAGCAGCAGCAGCAGCAGGGTCGCCCATCTACGACGGCACTTTGCCAGCCTGTGCCTGTCAGCGCAGAATATCAGTACACCGCAAGTTAGCCACACTTCGTGACTGCCAACTAATGAGGGCACCGTGCTCTCAACCCCACAAAGACACCCCAATCCGTCACCATTCACCCTTTGCCATCCCCGTCCTCCCTCCCCTCTGCAGCTGCTCAAGGGCAACACCTTTGCCGGCTCCGCCTTCTTCTCCTACGGCTCCTTCTGGGCCTCGTGGGCCTTCTTCCAGACCATGGCGCGCCTGCACGCCGACTCTGGCTTCACCCCTGACGCCGGCTTCAAGGTCGGCGAGTGCATCCTGCTGGCCACCTGGGGCTTCTTCACGTTCGGCTTCTTCGTGCCCACCCTGCGCAAGAACGGCTGCCTCATGACGGTGCGCGACCGGGCGCTTTTCTGTGAGAACTGTGATACATCTGCATTGATGCGTGCCTCAGCGGATGACGAACAATCAAACAACAGCGTGTCCATGCAAAACATCATCGGCAAGCACGCTTTCCTGTTCAAACCAATCTTGCACCAAGTGGCTGACGGTGCTGTCATGTGCCACCCCAACCTTGACCTGTCCAGGTCTTTGGCAGCCTGAGCATTACGTTCTGGCTGCTGGCCGGAGGCGTCTACAGCCCCACCTGCAACCACGCCGCCGGCTACTTTGGGGCGTTCTGCGGCCTCAGCGCAGTCTACACCGCCTTTGCTGAGATCTATTTCGAGAGCCTGGGCGTCACCTTCCCCGGCCTCAAGCCCCTTCGCTTGATCTGACTGTTTGAAGACAGCTTGGAAAATGAGTCACATTACTTGCTGAGCGCTTTTCTCGGCTCTGGAAGCGCGGGGTGTGTGCGCGAGTCGGTGAGCCCCGTGCGCCCAAGCACCGCATTAGTTGAGGAGGCCTTTTGGCTCTGGGGCGCATGCGGGGGGCAGGGGCTGCGCCCCCAACGCGTCTGATTGTGCAAGTTGCGACCACTCTCAACAACATGATGATTTCCTGCTGCAACGTCTTTTCGCGGCACGCATGGCGGTGTGGTCCCGTCTCCTGCGAGTTTTGAAAGCGTGTGCATGCTGGCGTGGCTGTAGAGTTACACCAGGTACACGTTGCAGCCCTGCTGCGCTTGCGTAGCAACAGCACTGGGTCATTGCCACCTCAATTTTCTAGCCAGAGGTGGGGTTGTTTCGCCTCTGCTTTGCAGAGATAACGGACGTGAGCTGCTGCCGCACCGCAAGCTTATTTGCTGGCCTTGCGCCGCCCAATTTTGTTTTGCAGGGCTGCCTGTCGACGACCCCTACATTTGTTCAGCTTCACTTTGTGAGGTCACTTGGCATCGTGCCAGTCAATCCCATCAGCCTGCGCGTGATGAGTAACAAATCTTCACCGCCTTGTTGGGGTTTCTGCAACGGTGCAGTCTGGCAACCTCCTTGAGGCGAAGCAGCAATGTACGTTTGATGCACTGCAAGGCAGCTGGCACATGGTAAGGGCCCAATATTGCATACCACTATGAATCAAGCAGCTGCGGCCACCGGTAAGTGGCATGCTTCAAAGCATCAACCATTGTCATTCAGCGGTAAAGCACGTGGAGCCACCCTCCTGGTGACCCTGTGGTTTGGTCCTGGGCCACTGGGGAGAATATGATAGTATTCGCATGAATATCTAGCGGCTGATCACGTGCATACGCCTATCTATTGACAACCGTCGCTTTCATAACTCCGATGTAACTTCGGCACCCCCAGCTGCAACACTTGCCCGTGCTTTAGGATTTCAACCTGTCCACAACACTCGTTCTCTCAATCATTTTTCAGGGAATCTACGCGAACGTAATATTTCGCATCGCGTTGCGGCGGTCTCTCGGTCCCGTGTAACCCGACGTGCTTATCGTGGTATCGGAACGGGGGCTGTACTACCACAATCCGAGTTTAAACTAGAGGCGCTGAATTATGATGGGATGCAGGCATGGCTCTTGCAGAAGTCTGGCCGCATGGGCGCTGGCTCTGGCCGCCTTGCTGGCAGCATGTGCAGGCGTGGCAGGCGGCGACGTTGCTGCGGCGACGCTGTTGCATGGGGCCAACCTCTGCGTGCGAGGGCCGAGTTCCGCCTGCTGCGGCCTGCTGAACAGCGCCTTGGGAGACCCTGACAACCCCATAGCAAAGTAGGTGGGGCGGCTCTGTTCGGCCCACTTTCGTTATCGAGACACAACTCTGCCGCCATTTTGATGATTTGACATGCGCTTAGACAGGTGGCAGCGCAACCGTCCTATCCAGAGGACTGCTTTCTCCCGCGCTCACGCCAATCTGCCTGCACATTCGAGCACGCAGGTGCGTATGCGTCGCAAGGGTGATCGCGTCGCTCGAGCGCGCTGGGATGTCCCTACCCGACACCGTGGCCACCTGCCAAGCCGCGCGCCGCAACATGACCCTTGCGGCTGCCTTCATGGACAACCAGGCCACCACATGCCCCGCTGGCGGCGGCGGCACTGCCCACGCTGGCGGGGCCCCCGAGACGGACCGCGAACGCTCGATCGAGGCGATGGCGCCCCTGCTGCAGGCGGCCCTGGACCCCGCTGCGCCAGAGTGGGCGGCGCGCAACATAGAACAGGGGCTCGTCGGCGGCGCCGCCGGCGACGGCGTCAGCGGGCTGCTGCGCGGCCTGTCATACAACGCGCTGGTCTGGAAGCCTCTGGCCGGCGTCCTTGTTTTCGCTCTCACGCTCGCCGTGCACGTCTTGACCCGCCTCGCCCTTGGCCGCAAGCTTGAGGGGTTGGGCCTGGAGCAACAGCTCGTCTCGTCGCAGCACGCGCTGTTCGTGGCTGTGTTTGCTATCCAGATTGTCCCCTTCACGTACTTGGCCGCGGAGTTCCTGTTCAAGCGCTGGACCGCCGCCTACTTTGTCGGCGACGACCGCCACGCGTGCGCGCTCGGCGCGATGGTGGGGTTCATGATCGTGTCCCACGCCTACCTGTACTGCATGGAGAGCGGCCTGCGCGTGCTGATTAAGCCGAGCCCGCTGCTGCTGGTCCACCACGCGCTGTTCTTCCTGCTGCTGGCGTGCGGCCTGTGGCTGGGTCCCAGCATGCTCCTCATAAAGGTGTGGGGCAGGGGGGGGTGTAACCAGGGACTCCCTGCTTGGGGTGAGACACTGGGGCCGGCCGCAAGCAGCTGCAGCAGCATGTTTGACTCTGGGGTGAGATAGCATGTGCTTGTGCACGCTGTGCAATAACGGGGTGGTGGGGCTCGAGTGAACTCAGAGGCTGGACACACGTCACGCACGTGGTTAGATTTCGCTGCTTCACACGGTCAGCGCCTTGCCTCGAAGCCGCGACGCTCCCTGCGCATGCGCTCTTGCGTCATCACCTGACACGACATACATGTCCCCTTCGTTCACGCAGGCGACTCTTGTTCTGGACTTGGGGGCGGTCCATGAGTTGCCGCTGTATGTTGCCCTGCTTGTCTACAGGTGTGCACGGGAGGCGCAGGGATGAGAATAGGAGGCGCTGGGGATGAAGACTCTAGGGTGGACGCACGGCGCTCCCTGCCTTGTAGCACGGACTGCGACGGGGCTGTTAGTTGTTCGCAAGATAGTGACGCAGCTTGGCAAGCTGGGCCGCCGACAGCTGGCGCGCTGAGTCGCCTGCTGGGGTTGAGCATTGCTATAACCGTGCTAAGCCGTCTTTGACCACAGTTTATGCCCCTCCATCATATTGTGCTGCCCAGGCTGAGCAAGAGCACGCGCTTGATTCGTGGCTTCCTTGTGGGCGGCCTGGCCTGGTACGGCCTGACGCGGCTCGTGCAGACGGCACTACTTCTGTGCCTCCTGATCGTGGCTGATCCTGCGCTCAGGGCCACGGCGCCCTACATCATATTCGCAGTCGTGTGCGCAGCCCTGTCTGGTGTGCAGGCCTACACTTTTGTCATCTACGCGGTGAGCTGCCTTGGAACAGGGTTAGACAGCCGGGGCGAACAAGGGGCGAAGGAAGTGCAGCTCGGCCGGGCGTAGCTGCCGGTGCCAAGCACAGCAGGCGGGCAAAACGGAACGTAGGGTGAACACGCCAGCCCCGCAGGTGTTGCGGCATCGACGTGCCTTTGATATGTGCTTCCACTCTTACGCCAACCCACGGCTGGCGAAGCCCTCGGCTCAAACGCCTCGCGCTTCACGGTCGTGATCTCACAGGGCATGTACAGGCGCGCTGGCAAGAGCGTGAACTCAATCAGCGCACCCCTCGGCATGGCGCAGCCCAAGCTGTCACAAACCGTGCTGATGCTCAAGGCGGCAGCAAACGGCAGTGACAGTGGCAGCGGCGATACACAGGTGTGCTGATGACGGACCACTGTGTGTGTCGGCCATGGCGCTTAGCGCTCGCGAGTAGCCATGCTGGTCGCCAACAGATGCTGCTAGGTGTGGTATGCACACCAGGCATGCGACGGGCAGAACATGCACGTACTATACAGGATGTTTATCTCAGTGGCCAGGGGATTATGCGTGTTAACTAGTGCTGGGATTCTGTGGCACCGCAATGTTCAACGCCGGCAACGATCGCTCTGCTCAATCACATCCGTCCTGCTCTGGCTGTCAATCATGATTGGGCAACCCATGCGCTGAGGAAAAAGTCGCAAGGCCACTGGTCTGCTTGATCACATGTGCATTCCTCGTCACCCAAACCCCAGCTCCCGATACATCACGAGTCACCGAACTGCCGTTTGCATTAAGCTGCGGCAGATTTATTTTGCTGGTCTGTCAAAAAGCGCTTCTGAAATGATGGATGGGCACTACACTTTTCAGGTGTTTCTTACCAACAGGGATGAATACAACCTTGATATAGGCGCTGTATCAACATATTTTTAACCTGCGCTGCGTGCACATGCTGTTGCTGTGAGTTTGGCAATGGTGGTGATGTGCCGACTCCAACAGTGGCAGCACAGAGACAGCTTCACTTCCGACCTTACCTAGGGCAACTTGTACAACATTGGCACAGAAGCTGGAATAGCAATAAAGAGTTTGGCACGGCTACAGAACAACAAATTAGCAACATACCGGTACGCTTGATCCTGAGATACGTACAGCAGGGGGCAGCACACCCCACATGAAATGCAGTAGCTGGCATGCAACCATGTTCGCACCACATGAAATTCACGATGAAATATCAGTTTGTCAAGATCGTTGCAAGTTTACCACACACTCCACAACGTGCGCCCCTTCAGGTTCTCGGCTGGTTTCGGGTGCTTGATAACGTGCGCCGAGCGTGCTGCAACGCATTACAAAAGAAATTGATCACATTCATAATCACAAAACAAGATATCTGAGCCGCCCTATCAGCCCAAACCGATCAATCGCTACATTAGGATCCTCTACCCCTCCGCCTCGACTGACCAGATGGCGGGCAAGGATAGTCGCCAGCCACAGGATGTTGAGTCCAACTACTCGCAGGCTCGCGATCCTGAACGTGCAGCTTCGGTGGTATGGACCCAGGCGATTGGCAACCCGGCGCCCCTGGGTAAGACCGCCAATGCTGCGGCCCATGCTGCAGCCTGAGGCGGCATGCTGCATGGGGCGAGTGCTGCTGCAGTTCAACCCTACCAAGGCTTAGAACAGCCCTCAAACATCTCAAATTGCAGCAACATGCAAGACGGTCAAGGTCACACTTGACCCTTGTGTGCAAAGACCATCGCGTCACCCCCCCTGGTCCATGCGCACAGGGCTGCTGGCGTTTGGGATGACCACGTTCTTCCTCATGACGGTTGACACCCTCTGGTCATCCAAGGTTTTTGCGGGCACAGTCATCGGGTATGCCTACGCGTACGGCGGCTTTGCACAGATGGTTGCCGGCGTGCTCGAGGTGCGTGACGCATTGTTTGGGCGTTTGTTGGCACTGCCTGGCGTTTAAATGCTCTTGCCAGGGATGCCCCTGCCATATGGAGCCAGCAGCGCCTGGAAACACGTAGAGTCGAGCACACCTTGCCGAATGCCCGCGCACTGCGCGGGCTTGGCAAGCCCCAAAGGCTACTGCTCCCAGCTTGCACACCCCTGCACATGCAGGCTTGGTGGCCTCCTTTGCGAGCCCCCCCCCTCAATGGCTCACCTCCACTTCCTGTGTCCTGCCCCTTCCTCTGATGTCCCCTCCCCTCTGCAGCTGCTCAAGGGCAACACCTTTGCCGGCTCCGCCTTCTTCTCCTATGGCTCCTTCTGGATCTCATGGGCTTTCTTCCAGACCATGACGCGCCTGCACGCCGACTCTGGCTTCACCCCTGACGCCGGCTTCAAGGTCGGCGAGTGCATCCTGCTGGCTACCTGGGGCTTCTTCACGTTCGGCTTCTTCGTGCCCACCCTGCGCAAGAACGGCTGCCTCATGACGGTGAGCCTTCCTTGCCGCATGCACTGCGTGGGCTGTTGCGCGCATCGGTGTCGTCAATAGCATGCAAGGTGTTCATTTGGTGGCTCGGCAGGGTGTGGACCGGCTAGAGAACCCCTGCCGACACAATTAGCAGCTTACCATCTTGCTTTTTGCACCGTCATGACCAAATGCATTGTGCCCAAACCAAACCCCCAGGTCTTTGGCAGCCTGAGCATTACGTTTTGGCTGCTGGCCGGGGGCGTCTACAGCCCCACCTGCAACCACGCCGCCGGCTACTTTGGCGCGTTCTGCGGCCTCAGTGCCATCTACACCGCCTTTGCTGAGCTGTGGCAAGAGAGCCTGGGTGTCACCTTCCCCGGACTCACGCCTGTCCGCTTCATCTAGGTGGCAGCGACCTGCGGACGTAGCTTCAGCCAGGCGTGCCCAGTGCTGCGCCGTTGCGCGGCGCTGGGCGGTTGCGCCTGACTAGGCTCAGAGACCATGGCGCATTACGATTTTGATGGGTTTTGTGCATGCATGTATGCATGCCAATACAGGCCGCCGCGATGCAGGTGCTGGGGCAGTGTGCGGTTTGAGTGGCCAACACCTACAGACTACAATTCCCGAACACAGCCACCACAGCCTTGGCACACTTTCTGTAGGACAGGCCATTCGGTAGTGCAGGTCTATCAACAAAACTTTTTCCAGCTGCACGCACGAGCACGTCAGCAGCGTCTTGAACCAACAGGTGGCAAGTTCATCAGCAGATGTGAGTGGCCATAGTGTTGCCATTTTCTGCGCACAGTGCCATCTCTATTACTTGCAGACATGTTTTAGGAACGTACAGCAATTACTTTAAACAAATGTCCCTTTGTTACACGTTGCGCGTGCTTGCAGGATTCAACGTTGGTCATTGATACAACTGCGGGTCTTTGGCTGTCCATGATAGGGAAGATGAAATAAACAGGGCAAGGGCACAAATGCAGTCCGTTACGGCATGTGTATCCTTGTCGTCAGCAAACGTTGGCGCTCTTGTCATGCGTTCGTGCGCTGAGCAATATTACCAGCAACCTGACATGTGTAGAGGAGAGGGATGGCAAGCAGTGGCAGCGGTGATGGCTGATTGGTGGAGGTGGAAGGTTCGGCAGTGTTGAGCAGCTCTGTATTTGCGTATGATGCCCTGAGCGCAAGGGCAACACACGCATGATCCCAAACCCCTGTGCCATCACGGGCTGGCAGCCCCGAGCAGCAGTCGACTGCCAGCACGGCCCACCTTCTGTTCGGTGTAAGGCAGGAATTTGCCATTGAAGGTGATGATGATGCGGGGCTCCCCCTCAAGGCCCACCGCCTTGTCCACCGTCGCGTAAAACCCTGTGTGTGGGTCAACAGAACGACGCATTGCAATTGGCATGCTGAGGAATGGCTGCGGCAGCCGCGGCGGTGATCAACAAAAGCAGCTCATTTCTTTACTTGCGCACGGCCACACTTCCTGCCACATCAACGTGGGTTGCATCCTCAGCCAGCTGACCTGCGCACAACTCCTTCGATTGGCAACAGGCACAAACTGCCCCATCCGCTTCATTATAGACAGGAAGCACCCCCCCCCCTCCCGCCGCCCCCGGGCGCCCACCAATTGCGCTCATGATGCCGTCCCCGCAGTGCTCGTTGATGAGCGCCTTGATGCTGTCGCCGCTGTGGCAGAGCGCCTCGTACACCCGGTACAGGGAGGGCTCCTGCAGAGCATGGCCGCGGGGGGCAGAACTGAGGCTGAAACCAAGTGCCAAGGACGGTGAAAAGGGGGAAGAAAACCTCGGTTTCCCCCAGTTTCGTCTTCAGTGGATTATGTTGCTTTACCCCTTTGCACCGCCTAGCTGCGGTCCCTGTGGGCACCCTGCGCGCGCGTTATTGGCAAAACCCCACCTGCAGGACCTCTGGGCTGAACGACCTGTGCGGCACGCGCTGCATCACCGCCACATCATCGTCCGTCAGCGCGGGGACCGCCTTGCGCAGCGCGGCCACGGTGTTGGGCTGCAGCTGCTGCTGGTTGTAGAACAGCTGGGCGGTGTACACGTTGGTCAGGCCGACCTGGGGTGGTTGATTGGTGGTTGGTTGTTGGTTGGTTGATGGTTGTTTGGTGCTTGGTTGGTGGTTGGTTGGGAGTAGGTGAGACCGACAGCTGGCACCTCTTTTCTGCTGCTGACGCACGCTGATGCACGCTCGATCCTGCTGCTGGTCCATCCAGCCAGGAGGTGCAGGCTGCAGAACCGCCATGTTCCCTGAACCACTCTCCACACACCACCCTGCACGCCTGCACCCTGCATCCGGCCTCCACGCGCCACCCCAGCCCTGTCCCGCCGAAACCAATCACCTCGTTGGCGATCTGGCTGAAGGTCTTCCCGCTCTTCTCCTTGGCGGCAATCAGCCGCTCAACCTTGCCCTGGGTTGAGAGCGGGGGTATTCAAGCCCGCCGGTGCTTGATGTGCACCAATTGGCTTCACTCGCGATTGGCAACCGAATGGGGCTATGGAGCTCAGAAGCTAGACAAGGTCTGGGATGTAAAATTCATGAACAGCCCAAGCACCCTGGGGCACCTGCTGACAACATGCCGCGTTGAGTGCAGCCCATGGTACGCTGTTGCCGCCCGCCGCCCACCATCTTGTCATCAATTGACGGTGGCAGCGCGGGGCGGCCGACGGCAGCGCCCGCGCTTGCGCACACACCAGCACCGCCCTGCTGCGTGGGTGGAGCACTCATCAGACCTGGGCGATTGCAGCAAGGAGGTCGCAGCAGCGCGTTTGGTTCGTGCTTGGCAAGAACTGTGCAAATTTGCAAAATGTGTGAGCTTTGATGTGACCGAGCTGTGCATGTCCCCCCTCAATGGGACCCAAGTAGTGGTCCCTTGGGCCCACCGGGGCATGTGAGGGGTGCCTCATCATGGATCGTCACCTCGGGCGCTAGCCCAGGGCAGCGCTGCTGCCGGCGCCGGCGCCGCGCAAATATTCCAACCGGCAGATGTGTGCCACAGTAGGTGGTCAAATTTCCCACCGCAGGCTCTAAGGACACCGCGGCCAAACCTGCCGAGTGCCGACAAGCCCAAAAGCGATCTGCGATGTCACGTGAACGGACGATATATGATATGGTAACACTGTACGCTAAACAAGGAAGGCGAAGTACCAGTGCTGATATGCACTCGATACAGCTTTGGCAGTGCGTAAAGCGTCTGCTGCAGCCGCATCGGCGATAGTGTACGGTAATCACCTGGACAACCAGCCACGTCGCGAGAGTACGGATTTGCGTGCTACCTGACAGATATACACCCCGTTTTTCGACGTTGCGCGTCAGACGCGTGCACACATCAGGGCAGAAACCGCAAGCTGCTTGAACAGACCTCCGCTACTTGTACTAGGCTGCCGAGCCTTTCCATGGAGCAATGGGATCAAGAACCGCGAGCAGTATTGGTGCACATCGATGCGGAAGGGGCACACGGCAATCACTGGACGCAGCACTTGCAGAGCAGCAGCGGCAGTGATTCCATCACTCTCGGTCAAAGCGCAACCAGCCATGTCGGCAGCAAAGGGGGGGCCGCATCGCCGCCACCCGCGGTGTTCATCCCACGGCTGATCAGCAGCCCTAGTGGCGCGCCACCATCGCGCTCCCCGGGACGGGGCCGGTATGCCACTGCCGCACACCTGCCCACGCCGCCCGCCACGGTCAAGCCGTCGCAGCGGCCAGTGTGGCAGAGCCCCTCCAAGAAAAACATTGAGAAGTGAGCTGCGCACCCGGGCTCCAACGCCGCGCCCTCACTGGCTCGCCGTGGCGGCGCGTGCCTGTGGTGCGATGCCTTGTCCCAACAGCTGTCTGTGCTAGCGGCCACCGCTGCCGCCCTCCTGCCTCCGGCCCCCAGTACCGGGTGCACAATCATGGACCCCTAAACCACCACACTTTGATAATTGTGATCCTGGACTGCGCCGCCACAGCGAGGAGCGCGAGCATGAGCAGAACATCGCGGCGTTTGAGCGGCATGCGGCGACGTACCGTTGCCACGTGAACGACCGCTGCCACCACCACCAGGTGCGCGCGGAATCCTTTACCAGGGGAAGCTGCTGAGATATTGTGCCAGATGACCTTAGCACGCAACCGGAGCCACTCTCTCAACATCAGCAAGCAGCCATGGCCCGCACCTCAAGCCTGAAATCATGCGGCGGCTTCCCGCTGACCGCACCCCCCTCCCCTCGCCCGCGCCACCAAACACGTCACTCACCCTGCCGTGGCCACGCAGCCCGCGCTGGGCGGCGAGCAGAGGTGGCCCTTCAGAGGAGCACCCCTGCGGCGCACGCCCGCGGGCGCGGGCGCGGCGGGCGATGCTGGTTCGGGCTGCGCCGTGGTGTTTGATCCCATCCTTTCAGAGGTCAGGGTAGTGGCCTCTGGCTTCGAGGCTGAGCGCCTGGCGGCGGCGGGGGCGCAGCTGCAGCGGCCGTTGAGGTGCGCACGGTCAGGGGCTGGCAGGCGCTCTGTGTGCGAGCGCTTGCGTGGGTGTTGATATGAATTCACAACGGGCAAAGGCTCAACTGCTTCCGGGCTGCAGTGTTTGTAGTACGACACCTGGGGCCATATTTGCAGTCGACGTCACCAGGGTTGATGCCAGCGCCCAGATGCGGCCGGCAAGGCGGCGTACTGATCACTCTCACGCACTGCTGTGCTGTCGCGTGACGCGTGCGCCCCGCAGCGCTCCCCTGCTTCGCCCTGCCAGCCGCGGCGTTGGCAGCTACTCGGCAGCTGCCGCGGCGCGCCTGGAGTACAACCTGCAGCGGCAGCTGCTCCTGGATGGTCGCTCGGGCGCAGCTGCCGCTGCACGTCCCGCCACAGCGGCCGCCGTGCGCCCGGGCACTGCCGGGCCATGCGGCGGCGGCCGCGCCAAGGGCTGGGCGGCCGGGGTTCAGGGGCGGTACGATCCCCTGCGGCACTCATGGGTTGTGCCGCCCTCCATGGACGCGACGGCGCAGCAGTACAAGCAGAGGGAGGGGGACAGGCTGCTGGGAAGGATAGGCATCAAGTGCGCTGCGCCGCTGCGGACCGACGGGCACGGGGCAGCAGCTGCAGCAGCGGCGGCAGAGAGCGGCTCCACAGACGCGGCCGCGACGGGTGGCATGGCGCTCGACCATGGGCCCAGGGGGTCAGGCTCAGGCGCAGCTGCGGACCAGGGGGCGCCTTTGCTGGACGTGGACGCGTCGGGGGCGCCGCGGGCCAGGAGTCCTGTGCGCAACCCCATCACCGGCGCCGGCATGCCCGACCCGACCTTCAAGCTGTCCAGCGGCCGGCATGGCATCGTGGCGGGCGACAGCTGGTGAGGGCTTCGGGCAAAGTGCTCTGTCACAGCAGCAGCCACTTTATGTAGGCGCCCACACACACTCAACCACCAACATACCCACACAGAACGAACCTTCACCCCCTAGAGCGTCCATGCATCACTCAAACCCCTCCCAACAAAACGCGCCGCAACCTCCCAGGGGCAGCTACGACGTGTTCCGACACGAGTACACGGCGCCGCCCTCTGACGCTAGGTTCCGCCACCAGGAGGACCTCACAGAGCGCCGCGCCTTCATCAGCGGCCACGGCCTCAGGCGCGTCCCCCTGCCGGCGAGGCAGGGCGTGTACGACCCGATCAAGGGCACGTGGGTCGTGCCGCCCCGCGACGCGAGGTGCGTTAGGGGCCTGGAGTTTGCGCCCCGCGGCGCGGGATCCTCCCCAGGCGGCGAGGCCGCCGCGCACGGCCGCGGCGAGCCGCCGCAGCGCGGCGCGCGGGGCGGCGAGGCGCGGGGGACGTTCATTTTCGCGCGGCGCAACGGCGGCAGCCCTAGCGGCGGGCTGGTATGAAGTGAAGGGCCGCTTCAACGCTTTTGGTGTTGGTCTCCCTGATGAACGCGGGGGAACGGTTGCCTCCAGATTGGGATTTCAAGGAATCCAGCCCAAGGTTGGCAACGGCCTGCAGAAGGTCAGCCGGCCTGCTCTGCGTTTTGGGCCGGCGCTTTTGTGGGGCTGCGCCTCTCATTGCGACCTTTTGCTGTCTTCCTCACTGTCACGGTGACTGCAGCACGCACACCCCTGCGCCACCCTGTAGGCGCCTGGCAGTTACCATGGGGCAGCGTTTGCGCCAGGCATTGCGCCCGAGCGTGCCGGCATGACCTCTTGCCGAGTCTCACGTCTTCTCGCTTCATCCCTTTCAGCCGGTGCATGCCACTTCTTTGGAATGTCAGTCACACATACATCTGTGTGTGTGGTTGCCCAGCCGCACCAAGCGTGCAGCAGATGCGCGCCCTCCCGAGCTGCGGCGCTGCAACCGTGCCGACGTCACCACCTCGCAGAAATGACGATTACTGACGCACCCATGACTAAGCGGCATCCTCACATACCCGATTGCTTACATCCTATCACACCATATCGCAATGACCAGGACCATTTGGGGACATACATAAGCAATGAGGCACCGCACTGGCCAGTCTGAGTTGTGGGGGTGGTCTGTTTTGCTACACACATGATGTCTTGACCACCAACTAGGGTTGCGCGCTCTTGCCGTTGCGCAACGCCGCCGGTCCATTCGTTATCCTTTTGCTTGCAGGCGCCAAGCAGTGCGCCCATTCCGTACGGTTCACATGGCCTAGTGTCGCCAAAGCGCACCGCACTGCCGCCGCCCGACCTACCCCTCCGCGCGATTGCGTGCCTGTGCAACCACAAAACACTGTGTGCCGACCAAATCGCACGGAGGGAGCTTTTGCTGTGCCACTCCCGTCCGAGCTCAACGTCGCAAGGACCCATCCGTTTGACCAGCTCATGATGCTTCCTGTTGTGTTCGCGCAGCACCCTTGCCGCCTCGCGCTGCTATGCTCCCTTGCGCCGGGGGCCCATGCCCGGGATGTCTGGACCCGGGAAGCAGGTGCCAAGATCAATCCCTCGAATATCCTCAAATGGGGGTGTCTGGTAACATGCGAGTTGATGCTGCTATTGACTGGCCCATCTAAACTGGCGTCTCCGAACCAAAAGCCAGGCCGGTTTGGATGGGCTGACAGTGCCAGCCACCAGTACAATACTCAACCTTAGTGCTTGTCTGCGTCACGTGCAGTGGCTAGTTCAAGGGGGTTTACACAAGACATTCAGTGCTGGGGGGAGACATAAGGTTTGTGGAAGGCGCCCTGATGGGGCCATCAAGAATGGAGATGCAAGCGCAAGCATGCACAGCATGCCCATGAAACGGCAAGGCGTGGGGCCGCCCCACCCAACGAGCCGAACATATGCTTTCTATGCAACACAGACAATTATGGAAATCGGGTGTAGCCGGCTGCGGCATATCAATGAATGCGCTGGTTTGTGCGTGCGCCGCTGCTGGAAAGGCCCCCTTCCAGACCATACGCTCCTGCCCCGCGCCGCGCCGACAGCGGGTCTCTGCGCTTGCGCGACAGGGAGCCACGTGCCACACAAGCGCTCAAATCCCGCGCTCAAATCCCGGCGCTTGCGCCCAAGAATCCCTGTGCAGCTCAAAACAAAGCCCTTGTCCCAAATGCGAGCTGTGAGCGAGCGGCGCCGGCGCACCGGTTTGCGCAGTGTGATGGGAGCAGCCAACAGTGCGCAATTTGACAAACACGCAACCCCAATTACCCCAGGCCCAATTGCTCCCTCGCCGCACCTGGCGCGCCGCCGCTGTGGCGGGGCCGCGCATGGCAACACAGGCGAGGACCGGGCCAGGCTGGGCCGGCACAGGAGGGGCCGGGCGCACCCCAGGGAGCGACAGCCGCCTGGCGCCTCTGTCAGCGCCCCTTGTTGTCGGCCCACCGCACGGTCAGCGCGCGCGCCCGTGGATCGCTCGGGACAACAGCGCCGTTGGCCCCCTCAATCGCCGCCTGCGCCTCTGCGCGGCTGGAGTATGTGAGGAAGGCGTAGCCGCGGCTGCGCCCGTCAGTGCGGGGCAACGCGAGCTCCAATATTGTGCCGAATTGTGCGAAGAAGGGGTGCAGCTGATCCTCTGTCAGGTCGAAGCTGATCTGGCCAACAAACAGCTGCAAAGGAGGCGGCAGGGGACGGGGTGTTGGGAGCTGGTGAGCTGAGGTTGGCGGAGGAGAAAGGCCAAGGGCGAGAGCCGCCTAACGCGAGACTGTGCAGAGGGTCCAGAGTAGCGGGTCCTGCCGCCGCCTGGCGATGCCTCACCTTCCATTGCTTGGCCGCTGCAAGCGCGCCGCCATGGCCCGCGGCGGCCGGGCCGCCCGCCATCGCCATGGGGCCGCCCATGCCTGGCATCATCATCATCCCGCCGCCGCCCATCGCAATGGATGCCCCTGGCATCGGCATGGGCATGCCCATGAAGCCCGGCGCCATCCCCATAGCCATGCTCGGCATCGGGAGGGGCATCCCAGCCATCATGCCGCGCGAAGGGTCGTAGCCGCCGCCGCTGCCTGTGGCGCCACTGCTGCCCGGGCCGCCTGGCTGCTTGGGGCCCATCATGGGCACGCCCATGGGGCCACCCATGCCCACCATCATGCCCTGTGGGGGTCAAGGGTGATGAGTCGACACGTTGAGCGTTGCAGGGGGTCCTCAACAGCTGGCACACCAAAGGGGGGAGGGTGAAACCACCATACGCGGCTGCCTCGACGCAAGCATGCGCTGTCCCTCGGCGCGCGCCCAGGTCATAGCCACTGTGTCCAGGAGGTTGGCAATCACACTCAGTGTTGACGTGCGGCAGACACCTTACCAGGCCCAAATCCCTCCAATCGCACCCAACTCACCCTTACCCCTCCCCTCCCCTGCCCTATCACACCCTTACCCTCGCCACGCAAGCCCACCCCACCTGCATGCCAGGCATCATCATAGGGTTCATCACCATGGGCCCCATACCCATCACCCCCTGGACCAATGGCAAACAGACCGCGCGGGCAGTGGGCGTGTCAGGGTGAGTGGGCGAGGGGGCGTCTCTGGTGATGGGGCTGTCGCGGCGGCTGTGCAGGCCAGCGGCAATGCCCAGCCCAGCGGGACACGCCTGCACAGCGGTGCAGCGCATCCATGCCTTTTGCGGCTCGCCCAGGCCCTCTAAGTCTGACCAAGGCCTGAGATTCTCCCGCTGTAACCAAGCGTGCGGCTGCGGCGCCCACCATCATCATAGGGTTCATCATGGGACCAACCATCATCGGCGGCTGGGAGTGGGGG